TTATATAAGTTGTTGTACTTATCATGAAAACAGACTAATTTNCTTATTTTAATACTTCGTTTCGTTTCAATAGGATTTATTGCAGTTGACGTTCATTTAACGTACGTTATACATACACAAATTGTGACACTTTCAGCAAATGTAAGTTAATCGGATACTGAATTATATTTATTTCCAGGTTAATATCTACTTACACTTTGCAGGCGAATTTGGCAATATTGAATTAAAACGGAGCATACTTAATTTATTTTAATTAATCCTGATTTATTTATTTTTTCAAACAAGTTTAATACACTATTATACATCCGTGCGTATATTTGTACGTTAGTTCGATCACAATAAATAATCATGTACGTATTATCAAACGTACGTTAAATAATACCCGATTATATTCACCATTAACTAAATAATGTTCCAATTTATATAAGTTGTTGTACTCATCATGAAAACAGACTAATTTACTTATTTTAATCCTTCATTTCGTTTCAATATGATTTTTGCAGTTGACGTTCATTTAACGTACGTTATACATACACAAATTGTGACACTTTAAGCAAACGTACGTTAATCGGATACTGAATTATATTTATTTCCAGGCTAATATCTACTAACACTTTGCCGTCGGACTCGGAAATGTTGCTGTAAAACGGACTATACTTAATTGATTTTAATTAATCCTAATTTCATTTTTTTTAAAGCAAGTTTTATTCACTATTATACATCCGTACGGATATTTGTACGTTAGTTCGAGCACAATAAATAATCATGTACGTATCGTCGAACGTACGTTAAATAATGCCCGATTATATTCACCATTAACTAAATAATGTTCCAATTTATATAAGTTGTTGTACTCATCATGAAAACAGACTAATTTTCTTATTTTAATACTTCGTTTTGTTTCAATAGGATTTATTGCAGTTGACGTTCATTTAACGTACGTTATACATACACAAATTGTGACACTTTCAGCAAATGTAAGTTAATCGGATACTGAATTATATTTATTTCCAGGTTAATATCTACTTACACTTTGCCGTCGGACTCGGAAATATTGCTGTAAAACGGACTATACTTAATTGATTTTAATTAATCCTGATTTCATTTTTTTTAAACCAAGTTTCATTCACTATTATACATCCGTACGGATATTTGTACGTTAGTTCGAGCACAATAAATAATCATGTCATGCTTTAATATTTCTTTTAAATCAAGTTTAATTCACTATTATATATCCGTGCGTATATTTGCAGGTTAGTTCCATCACAATAAATAATCATGTACGTATTATCGAACGAACATTAAATGAGCTCCGATTATATAATAGAGTGCATTTATATTCCCTGTGGGTTAACTAAATAATGCTCCAATTTACTTAAGTTGTTGTTTTATGTTAACAGGCGGGGTTTAAGTAATGAGTAAATCAATATTGTTGTTTTCCTTCATTTATTGGGTTACCATTATCTATATTAGACTAGCATGGAAAGAAATCTTGTTTAATATAATATACATATTAGATATACAGGGATATATATATATTAATTTTAAAATATTTCATCTAAGGCTAAGATATTAATTATATACAATATTGCAATCAACTGACTAATTAATTTAAACAGACTAGAAAAGAAAATTGACGCGGTAATTTTGAAAATTTTATATATATATATTATACGTTTTTTTTTCTATTATATATAAACATAAATACAGTCGAGATGCATAGCATTTCCTCCGGTTGTTTGGAAAGCGAAAAGCTTCTACGAACTTGTATTTTCGGACGAACAACAACAACAACAAACAACCCAGGTGCAAATTTTACATACAGAGGATTGGATATACTTTATTACATATTTACAGGATACATTTGATTGTTTAAATGATATGTTAGTAATATGTTCTGTTTTTTTTCCTTATATAATTTCTCGAAAGGGAATTTTATAATTTTATATTTTTTACGTATTTTTTTTATATATATATTCTCAATATGGAATAGGGTGCGTAGTTTTTTTTATATTTCAGCCTAGAGGGTGGGTTTGTTGCTGTTTCTCGGCCGGGCTAAAAGGGGCCGGATCGTGACTAAGACAGGTCGAGCAGTCCTTCGATGATAGAGACAGGGGTCCGCGTGGAAAGTTCGTATCTGAAAATAAAATTATTTTATACTAATTTTTTAACTGTAACTTAAACAAACTCCTTGAAAATATTGTTATTAACATTTTTTTTTGAATTATGTAAGATTATTTGGCTCTAAGCCAACTTAATGTTAACTTACTTACTAACTAGTAAATCAAGTTAAAAAAAATAAGGCTTACTGTTAAGTATAAACATTCAACAAAGATATTATTAATTTGTCTTTGGGAATATACTGCGAATTGTATATGTTTGCCTTCTGACGTCTCATAAATCACATAAAATAATGTTTTTTGAGCTCTAGTTTTACGATTTGAAACGTCACCTGCTTCCTGCATAATGCACTTGACGCAGTTTCAGAATTAATCGAAAATAAGCTGCAAACGAACACTTTCAGCTGCAGAGAAGTTACGTATGCAGAGAAGTCGAAGTCAAGATATTACAGATTATATTAAATTATTACAAATCCGTAAAAAAAAAATAGAAAACATATTTTTACAAGGAAATGAATAAAAAAAGTACAACTAAATGCGATGTTTAACGTTACTAGGGATAATCTGTTTTTTACTGTATTTGGATAATTATGGAGGTATTGCATAAATTAAGATGGTTTAGAGTGAATTACAAAGTAAAGTAAGAATTTTCTACTCCACAAGATATTGTGTTTGCTTTTACGTTACAGCCATTATTTTATTGAATTAAAAGCATGTATTAAATCGGAATGACAAGTAGACACCTACGTCAGTTCGCGTTCAATCAAGGGAATAAAGCCTCCAAATCTGTTCGCGATATTTGCGTAATGTACTGTGAAAATGTTATGAATTAAAGGACAGCTCGTAAATTATTTTTTTTATGTATATATTTAAATTTTCTATTATTGTGTCCTCTTGTCCTCTTAATATGAGAAAAGCGGACAGGACTTATGTTAACACCCAATATATGCATTTGTGTTAATATGACATAAAGTGTATGTTTTCGTTTGATACTTTAATACTTAAGTCAAAAGGATATTAGTTCGGTAAAGCGCGAAAAGATGCAATGGGCATTTTATAGTATTTACAGAAGGTAAATGCAGAAGGTGTAACTTAACTTTGCCGTACAATCATTAAGCGGATTCCTGTTAATTACCAAAGTGTAATCAAATACATAAGTACACACTTCACATGAATAGAGCTCGAAATCAATTACTGTTACAGCTGCTATAGCAACGGAATTGCCGTTCTGTTTGGGTGTACCACCATGCATAAGCCGCTTGGCATTCACGTTGCGCAAATTTTCTGATTGCATTCAGCTCTTCGACAACAAAAGCTATACAGTATTTTTGGTAACAGGCCTGAAAACTACCCTACCTGTGGAAATGACGAAGTGCCGGTGCAGGTCTTGCCTGTACAAAAAATTTGTCCTGTCCGTGCCATCGAAGGATAATCGCGACAGGTTCCATATCCTGTGCGATAAAGATGGGATTACTTCGGTCTGCGGAGCCGACAGTGACGCATTATCCACTTGAGGTTCGGATACGCCGTCTCCGCCGCCTCCTCCTATGCCGCCGCCACCACTTCCAACTACGCCGCCGTTCGCGACTTGCATCTGTAACAGGCCATCAACAAAAATGATATAGCACAGCTATGTACCAAATCGATCATCATGAAACAGTAGATACAGAGGGACGTAACTAGATTTATACCTTTTACTTATTACAACGAAAGCAATTTCTACGGGATTTCAACCTGTTTTTTTTTATTAAAAGTTACAAACATTTATTCATCTTCTTAGTTTACTCGAATTCAAACTTTCTGTAAAATATTTTGAAAAATAATCCCATTATATTTATTCATATTATTATAATTAAAAAATATATCAATTTGTAATTCATCACAATATTGAATATTTACAAAATTATAATAAAAAATTATAGTAAATAAATAATATAAAATCAAAACTGAAAAATATTTTTTATTTTTGTAAGGAATTTATTTATTACACTTAATTTTTCACTCCTCTTCGAGAATATATTGTTACGTTTTGATATATCTCTTAAAATATTGGCATTTTCATAATAATAATCATAATTTATTGGAGAGAAAAAAAAAAGGAAACATGAAATGCATCAACATTAGTGGACAAATTAAAAATAAACAAACTCTAAATATAAATAAATAACAAATTGAAAAATATATTTTTATTTAATCAATATTTTTAAATTGTCAAAGTTAAAAATCGCTTCAAAATGTATGCAGATTAATAAACGTAATTGATATTCCTTCTTTTTTTTTTTGATGATACTTGGAGGCCACTCCTGCAAGTACAGAAGCGTAAAAGAAAAAAAATATATGCCCAATATTCTTTTCTGCCGTGAGTACACTCCGTCGGCAAATCGCGTAAGCGGTTTATATAAATTTAATCATTTAATGCAACATCAAACATGAAATACGAAACTTCTACGTATGTTACATAAACAGAATTAATGGATTGATGGGCGAAAAGGGCATTCAATTAACGAATGAAAGTGAATGCCGTTTAAGGGCTGACAGTAACCGCAATATCCCGACAATATCAAAATACCGACATTATCAAAATCCCAAAAGTAACATTAATTCCGACAGTATCTTTTATTAATTGATTTAGACTTAATCATAATAAACCTTAATAATAAGAAATGATCTAAAATTTCGATTGTCACTGAAACCGCACAAGCAACAACAACAAGAATGGCACTTGCAGCAGAGTTCTTGATTTTCCTATTTCCGGTTTCGATCAGCTGCACTTCTCTTCTATTTATAGTTCTCGTTGATATCGCCTCCATCGTTAGTGATTTCATTTGCGGACGACACGAAACATGGAAATATATCGCGTGCCGCCGCCCCCGACGCGCTTAATACATAATTAAATATTCGTGATTTCCAACTGCGATTCTGTCCGATATAGTCCATTGTTCAAGTGTATTTAGACTTTTCATTACGACACTAAAAACACGCGCGCCCGTTTTTATTACCCCCCCACCCTCTATCAATATTTAATAGGACCTAATGAAATTCTACTCCAAACTTCCCGTCCCGCGAATAGACATCTATATAAATAGAGACAAACACACATAACTGAATAAAAAAATATGAAACAATAAAAACGACAATAAAATTTCTCCCCTCAATGATTTCACGAATTCACACACTAAGTAACATCATAATATGCGAGCAAATCCAAAGTACATCCAACATTTTATAATATAAGTTTTTTGCCATTATTAATGTCTTTACAAATTGGAAACATTCTAGCGTGTAGAAGAAATATATTTTTTTTTATAATTTATTAACAAATCAATCTATCTTTATGACAACAAGCTTTAAAAGAGAAAAAAGGACAATTATATTATATATGTGAAGTGGGGTTGCTGTACCATCTTCATTACGTCCATTTAATTATCCTATGTTTTCTCTTATTCACCCATTTGTGAAGCTTGTTATTATAAAGATAGATAGCTTTATAAATAAATTCAAATTAATTTAAAAAAAGTCGATAGATATTTGATCCAAATTAGTGCTAATAAACTCATTTTTAAATAAATTAAAAAATATTTACAATAATTGCAATTATTTCATAAAATTCTATGAAAGAGAAAATAAATTAAAATTTTAAGAACGGCGATAATAAAATTTGATTTTTTACTAGTGGGGTTGAAGTGCTTATGAATAAGCCGTGACTGTGTAGAGACGTGTATCAAATGACTGCTGTAAAATTTTCAGGTAGAACGTGCATTTAATGACCTTGAGAGAGCCAACTAAAGAAAACAAACATTGTTTCTTGAAACCATAAAAAAGAGTAAAACATAACTGAAACGCATAAAGCGAAAGAAATAAGTTGATTTACGATTTTATGAAACCGCTTCATATACCAAAATTGTTTAGCTGAATTTCTCTGAGAACGTATAAGAATCTAATAAGAAAGTACACACTTGTAAGTCACGACTATTCGAAACGTATAAAGCTAAAGAAATAAGTTGATTTAGGATTCTTATTGATAAAAAATATTTTCCGGACTATAAGACGCACCTTTTATAATTAATATTTATTTATTTATCAAAATTACATAAATTATTAAGTATGAAAAGCATATGCAAAATATGAATTATTAATAATAAAAAAAAGATATTGATGGAATCAATTGTTACATTGCCATAAAAATAATGTTTATATTAACATCAGTCTTTTCACCTTCTTAAAATTATTTACTTTAAAGATTAGTTTTTATTTAAACATATTTATTAATCAATTGGAAGATCATTAAATTAATAAATATTAAATGTCTCTACTTTGGTAATGAATTTTATCCTATTGGTTTTATGACTGTTTTCTATTCCCATGTGCGTTTATTTGCACATTTCATATATTTTAACACTATACGCCCATCCTTAAGTAAAGCGTCGCTAATCTTAAGCAGTGTGGACGCACCAGTACATCAATGTTAGAACGTGAGAACTCTCATGTAGATGCAAATATTATTGCCAATCAACAAAAAAAAAGCTCATATGTGTATTGCGTTTAAACCGGTTTATAAGCGAAGCAGAAGTATTTTTACGTCAATTCGTGGCAGCCGTTGCAATATGGATCCATCACCGCACACCCGAGACTAAACAACAACAACAAAAATCGTAAACAGCACGCGTTGAATAAGCTCACAGGAAGGCAGAAACGTATAAAACCAAGCAATATGAATTGTGGCTTTTATTTGCTTTTCAAAAATAAATCTCATCAACTCCTTCGAAAATGAAAATATACAATCATAAGGCAACCCATTTTAACGACGTACTTCCACACGTTTCAGAAGGATTATGCAACGTCGTATATAATGCATTTTTCTTGAACGAAATAAAGCTCGATTCGGATCTATTTTAGTATGCAAGACTTAGAAATTACACATTTTCATTTCATTTTCAAACGATTGTAAAGTTAATTTACATTTGATTTTTTTTTATTCATATTGTTACAAAATAAATTATAGATGAAAGATTATTAATTATTACGTAAGTATTTACTTAAAACGTCTTTCTTGATATTTGAAGAACTTTCAGGATGGTTTTTGGTGTTAAGACAGTTATTATTAATCTTGTTTGATCAGGATAATGCAATTTTGTGCTTTATTTTAGATAAAAAATATTTTTTGTAAATTTAATGTTTAGTGTTAAACAACATAAATGTATGAAATTACTTTTAGTTAATCAGGATAATTCCATTAATGATAATTATAATTGCAATTCCTTTAAGTGTCTTTATTCAACAGACAAATTAGTTATTTCCTATCTATCGCATGCAAATTTTAATGAAATTTTGAAAATTTTTCACATTTTTTTTTTCATAAGAATAATTAATTGCTTGACAAAATTAATCAGATAATTAATTTACATTGCAATTGACCAGAATAGTTGGTACAAAGCAATTACATTTCCCTTAAGTAAAAGGATACTTAACGGAGAAAGAAAATCTTCTTACTTTACTAATTTTTATATGTAGCATTACCTACTTGTAAATTTTAATTGAATACTGCTGTTTTGCACGTGAAAAGATTAATATTTCCATTACCAGGAAATGCTAATTAAAATGTTATTAAAAGAAATCGGCTGTGCTTTTTTTGTAATTCGAGCGCGAGGGATGCTTTTTTTTCAACCCCCTGTCCCTTCAACCCCTCGCACTCTTTATCTCTTTCTCTATCGCTGTATCTTGCGAAATCACAGACGTTCAGCGCTAAATACATTTCATGAATATTAAATGAGTGCTCGAGGGCTGCCGTCCTCGAAGGGCAAAATAAAGCTCCGCGATTTACTTGCAAATATTTAGGCTACCTAAGCGTAGCCTCGTCCTTTCCACTGATATTGTTATTAAAGGCAACTAAATGTGCGTTCTTTGTAAATAGCATAATATCCTTAGTCAATGGCTTATACGCTTGGTGAGCATGGAAACGCGCCGGGACGGTCCCTAAGGGCCCCCGTCATATGGGATTACACCAATATTGTATTACCACCCTCAAATCCCTTATGCACGTCCATACGCGTCGAAATCGTAATTATTTCCATTGCGTCTATCTCTCTCTCTATATAGATGCACGCGAAAAAGAAGTGATACCATGAAGCGAGGAAAATTAGGAAGAAAAATGGTTCGCTAATAACGAGGTCCAAAGAAAATGTCACGTCGATTCCGCTGCGCCAATGACACACTGTAACTACATTTCCCTTAAGTGTCGTTACGTCAAAAGAACAAAGCGAACTTTACAACAAAAAAAGTAAAAATAAAACTCTCCTATTTTATTAAGGGATAAAAATCCCTACGAATTATCTAATCTTCCGTTCCCCAGCTCTAACTAATTTCCAGAGCTGGATGATTTTTCAGAGCATAAACTTTAGTATCCTGAATTCGGATGTCGTCGAAAGTAACTACGTTCATTGCAATCGCAATTTATCAATTGTTCCCTCATACCAAGGCCAAATTTGTTCACGGCCCTCCGGGTCGTGAACCTCTCTTCAAATCTCTCTCTTTCGTTCATTTATTTATTTTCTTTTTAATTTTTATTTATTTTTTTTAAACTCTTTATGTTATTTCTCCAGATGAATATCTGTAATTTACCTATTGGAAAATATAAATCACAGCTGAAGGTCAAGTGGTTAAAATTACTTCAGCCGTTGGGTTGTTGAGCTATTGAGCAGTAAATTGATCGTCTGCTTGGCCTTCTAATCGAGTTTAGTGTGCAGTTAAATGCACCACTGTTTCAATTTGGAAATATTTCATTTACATCTATGTAACATATACAAAATACTCCCCCTTAACAATCAAATTGGGAAACACTAGTATAAACACTTTAAATATCCTTCAAGTTATTATTATGTGGAAATAATTGAAGGACTCTCCTCTCGATGCTAGAAACAATTGTTATAAACTACAATCCTCTTCGATTTTGCACAGAAGCTCTTTCAAGTGAAAACTTTCAAGTATATTATTTTGTGATTAAAATTACTATTGAAACGAACTAAGTCTTTTGACCGCACATACACGCTTTGTAAAATATACAATGTTTCTGTTGTTACCACTAATGTTGTTAATTACATTAATTACTTCATTCAATTACGCTCAATCCAAAGGTGTAGTAATACTAATAAATACTTTTTACTACATTTGTATTATGAATGAAATAAGTTAAATTTTGTCGAAAAAAAAAACAATAAATTTAATTGGCAATAGTATTACCGAATTCGTTTCAATTTGTATTAGAATTATAATGAAATTGAGTTCTGTATTATTCATTAAAATAAAATAAGGCATTTAAAGAATAAAAGTTACATTTAAATAATATAATTTATTAATGAATAAATGATTTTTTTTATAAAATTAGAAATTAAATATTAGAAAGTAGAATTTAATGAAAATTACAAATTACATCTGGATTTTATTTGTGAAAGAAATTAACTATTCAAAGGCATGTACGTTTAATAAAAATAGCAATAATTCAGTATAACTCCATATTATTTTTAAAATTCGAACGCAGTCTGCGTGAGTAATATCATTATACACAACATTCATTATTCAGTTTGAACGATTTACATCTATTCGCTTTTTTTTAGCTAACTATAACAATACAAAACGTTTCCATAATTTACAAAGTTTTATATCCATACTTTTCTTAATTGTTGCAATAAAGATTATTATTATTTATTACTTACATAAAATTTCAACATTATTAGTTATTCTTTCGATATTAAAAAAAAATATCCTGCATTTAAAATGAAAGATATTATAGTTTTATTAAGAATAATTTAATTTTCAATGTTAATAGTAAATATTTTTTGTAAATGCAATACGAAATAGAATCAATTGAATAGAAATTCAATAGAAATTCTCTTGATTAACCATCATTCAAATATAGAATCAACGGTCACCCCACTTCGCTGTAAGAGAAAGAAAACAATAAATGCGTCTTACATTAAATTGTCATTGAGACGAATACGACACGATACGACAATAATTCAATTAAGCTTTATATAATATTTGAAACGTAACTGCACTCTGCGCATTACAAATTTCGACCTATCTTCGTGCATTTACACTCAATTGAAACATTGCATTATGCAATTGTCCGTGGCCATTTTAAAATCAAAGCTTTTAAAATGTCCGAATCCTTTGGACTCGAGCGAGCTCGTTCCTTCCAGTAGTCTATATATATATGCATATATGTTACAATTCGCATTTGCACTGGATTACTCATTCAAGTGCGAGGCTTGGCCAAGTGTGGTTCGACGCTATTTGTCATTCAACGTTCAGAGTTTACCGTGAAAGGTACTATGGCTTCTACGAGCAGCGATAGACCAGCCTCTCCACCGGTAGGGAAAGCAATTTAATTAAGTTACACTTATCATACTTATATTTTATTACAGTTGTCTCAATCTATGATTGAAGATGATGAACTGTTTGGGAGATATTTGATGAATAAAATAAAAATGGTAAATGCGCGTTACAAGACCTTCCTGAAAGTCATGATTCTGGAAATGCTTGTCAGTACGTCTAAGAATATGCAGTTTCTTAGTTCGATTGAGGAAGTCTCTTATGAGGATTCTGCTCCTACTAACGAACTGCAACAAAATGACGACGAACAACCTAATTTGCTCAATCCGGATGCGACGGAGACTTTAATTCCATCAGCGAGAAATGACTATACAATAAACTTAGAAGTGACCAGTTCTAAAGAAGATCCGCTTGCTCAAAATGAGGAACAATCCAGTTCGAGGATTGTAGTAAAAACTACTTTAGCGAGTGCTCCACCTGATCCACCGGGTTCCCAGGATAGTAACCAAGAAATTGATGATGCAAACAATAGATCGCAGATGCCAAGCACTAGGAGGACTTGTAACAGAGACCACGTCTCACCATACATGCAAGATATGTTGAGACAAAACAGATACAAGAAGGTAATGTACAAATTTGTTTTTAATTAACGAAAATTGCAATTTGTTTAAACGATTTTTTCTTTAAATTATTATTAAGGTGACTTCTGAGAATTTGGAATTGCATATTGGAGCGCATTCCTCCAGGACTTTTAGGATAGAGAAGATGGGTGGACGGACTATGGTTTATGAAAGACTTCGTGGGCCGGAGTATCTCCATAGAGAGCAAACAGGACTTGGACCATCTTTCAGGCGTTTACCACTTGTACCTGACGATGACGACGACGAGGAAATGGTTTGGCCAACATTGGAAGATGATCCTGACCTTAAGCGATTTTGGGACGATTTGAAGAAACTATAATCAACGCACAATTTTTTATCACTTATTATATTATATTTAATTACGTCTATCTTTATTTCAGTTTACTTTATAATCTATATATGTATCAATTTACCGAATTATTACAACTATGCTTAAATAAATAAACTATTTTTAAACAATAAACGAATTTATTTATATATTTCCATTCCATTTCCAACACTAAAAATGTTTGCAGAATCAAATGCTTTTACAATAATTCTATAAAAAATATAATTGCAGAGGAAAATTTTGAGTTTTGATAATGAATGAAAGTATTACGAGAAAACAAAAAAAGAATAATGCAATCATTTTATAATGATGTATTTGTAAAGTCTTATCGTTTTACAATTTTAATAGATTGCAAGAAATATGCAATAAAAGAAATCATTCAAAATTATCACCCTTTGTTCCAACGCTATCTTTGTTTGTTTTCTTAAGTATTGTGGCGATATGATTAGCTGCGTTGAACGTAATTGGTTCACACGAAGAAAAGCAAACTAATGAATTTTCTCTCTCTCTCTGATTTATTTCTTACCAAATATCGAAATGTAAGCAAACTCGTTGAATCAGTCGCCTCGAAAAAAGCCATTATGCTTTTATTTGTTTTTTATCTGCTCTTATATTGTTTACAGCGGATTTTCTTACCACAGCAAAGTTGATCGATGTTGACATTAATTGGACAGGCTTGCACATGGGAATAAATTTAAATAAAAACCAATACAATACATTTATGGATTTGAAAATGGTAACAACAAAAATTTCCATTATTCGCTTGAACTAAATTATTATTATTTTACAACTATTGAATTTTGTAAGAAATAAGAAATTGTTGCGATTTCATTATAAATTCCGGGTACCGACGGACAACTACGGTATGTATATTAAACTTAGAATTGGGGCGTGTCCCATTATATAAAAATACCTTTTTTTTTCTTCTATAAAATTGTTTCATAATTCGGGTGCGTCTTATAGCCCAGTATATACTATCATATAAAATAAATATTTATAATCAATATTTCTAATAATCATCTCATCACTTGAACGTGATTTTTAGGTTAGTGTTAATATTATTCTTATAAAATTACTTGCATAGTTCACAGATTATGTAATTGAATTATTACATTATACGTTTATAGAAAACACGAAAAATATGCTTCCACTCATAATATTAGATTATATTGTTATTTAACGCATTTTTTTTCTATTTTAACCTAAAATTTTATATTAATGTTTTTATTCTCTTTTATTAAATTCTATAAGAAAAAGCATGAGATAATCATACATACATACATAATCAAATATTTAGGGCAGGACAGGATTTTTTTTCAAGATCGGTTTTATAATGCGATTTTCATTCCGTATTTAAAAGTTCTCCGTCGGATCATAACATCCACTGTTTCATGTAAATAAATGGACTTAGAACTATACAATAATACATTTTATTCATATAAAGAAAAGGTGTGCGTCTTATAGTCCAATGTAATTATTTTGTCCAAAAAAATAGGTAAAAATAATGACTAACTATTTTTTTATTGTGTTTTCGGAAAGTTTATTGCAATCCCTATTGTTTGTTTCAGATTAACGAAATGTAAGCAAACTCGTGGAAATTTTTACTTTCCCATGCTTAAAAATTGTCGTTATTTTTTACTAGTTCTTTATCAATTGTTTACAAGATCTTTTGTTCCAGCAGCAAATTTTATCACTGTTCACAATAATTAATGAAGCCAATACGATACGTTTCCGGCTTGGGAACGATTAAAAGCTTAACTGTTATTTAAATTTTCTAAATAGCTTTTTTCCAATTTTATATTCGCTATTTTTTTTAATAATTGGGGTGCGTCTTATGATCCGGTGTATCTAAAAGTCTGTTGTAAACAACAATATTTCCAACATGATTTGTACTATACTATCAATGTAATTTTGGTCCTTTTAACGAAGTCGTTTTACTTAGAAGAATAGTTAAAAGAATGAGAACTTATGTAAATAATTGGTAAATATATTTGAAGAACAAATTATTTTGTTCGTTTACGTCTGTTTTCACACGCTTTTTCGGTAGTTATCATCCCCTATTTTTTATTCAGTAGATTTAAAATATTTAAATTAAATGCTAATATTCATGAATCATGTATATAATCATCTAAGTTTGTTTACAAATGGAAATTCTTATATAACACGTAATTTTTAAGAAGAGAAAACAATAATATCAATAGGTTATTGTGAATATTATTGTTATCAGAATTGGAGTGAAGGAGTGGGGATCCAGGTTTGGCCATTTAACAGCGGGATCGCAGCAAGTGCACATTCGTTGCTTTTGTAATTCAGTGTTACAGTTCCTCTGAGCGAAGAACGATGGCGACGAACAGCGATTTCGCGAACTATGCTCAGGTAGGAGGAGGATTGATACTCGGATAAGTTGGTTACTTAATATTGTGCATTTCCTTTTCAGATCAAACGCAATGTTATAGCAGATGATAAGTTCTTCAAAAATTACATAATTAAAAAAATGAAAAGTGTCAACAGGAATATTAACATTTATTTGAAAACCAAAATAATTGATGTACATTTGGGAATAATAAAATACTTTGATCTACTAGAAAAATGTGCACCAGATGATGAATCATCTCGAAGAAGAGACAATGGATCGACGCAAGACAATGATAGTGCTAATGAAGATAGTGACGGCAGTGATTGCGAGGCATCTAAAGGCAATAATGAGATATCCGAAAATAATGATCAACTATCTGAAGATGGTGATGAATTATCAGAAGATGATGATCAAGTATATAAGGACAGTAATCGCGATTGCGCACCTACTGACAGTAATCAAATATCTGAAGATAATCATAAAATATTTGATGATAATGTTCAAGTATCTAAAGATGACAATAAATCAGATAAAGTCAGTGAAACTAATAATAACAATAATACAAGAACGCCGAATTCAGAATATGCAAGTGAAAACCAAAGTGGAGATGAATCTTGTGCTATGCTGTTCAGACTTCCCAAACAGCCGACATCCGATCAACAGGAAAATACCGAACACAATATACCCGATAGACGCGTCAAGGTAAGAGAGATCTGTTAGTTATCCGGTATTATTTTTTTAATAAAATTGTATTTTAGTTATTATATGCGCTCTTGTTAAACGATGATTACTTTGGAAAGTTTTTAATGGGAATGATTAAACATATCGATCCGAAATATAAGAAATTTGCGAAGGCTGTTCTTTTTGATGCGGTCTTAAGCTCATTGCATTATATTCATGTCTTAAATGCACAAGAGGCATTTTTTACACCAGACTTCGATGAAAGTCGTGCTTCAACAAGTAACGATGAACCTTACCACTATGTATACGTAAGTCATTCATAATATAATTGGTTACGTGATTTTTTACAAGAGCTTATACAACTTGAATTCTGGTACCAATTTTGTTTACCATTCTTTCAGAATCCATCAAACATTAGCTATGACAAAAACGATATTGTGAAGTACAAGATAAGTCATATGTTCATAGATGATAATGATGAAAGTTCTTCAAAATCATCACAAGTCAGTGATAATGAAGATGCTTTTGATTTGAACTTAGAAAGCATCCTACAGGAAAGTGATTTGCTATCAATTGTACTTAATCCTATGACACTTGATGATTTTGATAACATCGAAAAAATTGACGATTCAGGTCCAGACATAGATTTAACCAGCAGCGATGAACAGTTCTCACCTGGTGATTGTTTTGAAGTAAGTTCTTATAAACAAATCATATTACTTAGATTAAAATCCTATAATTCCGGGGAGTGTAATTCAACTATGTAGTTATAAAGGGAATTGTAGAAATGTACGTAGATTTTAAGCGAAACGAGCATTGCAGGTACCTACGTGCGAAGACATTGTAGAATTTCATGCTTCGACATATAGCGTTCATCAGGAATCGCCCAACCAAGATGAATCTCGTGCTTCTGAAAACAGCATTAATCTAGAATTGGCCAATCTTCTTGAAAATAGATCGAAAAGTAGGAAAGACTCATTATCATCTGATGATGCCGAGTTGGTAGGATATTATTATTGTATCAAATTATATAGTAATTAGCAAAGGAATGTAACTGTTATTAAGGATAACGCGATTTTTGATAACAATTTCAAAACTATCATGCTTGAATAATTATTAAACACATCAATTCTATATATTTGCAGCTAGCATTATTGGTACCAACATGCGAAGACATAGAAGAATTTCGTGCTTCGATAAATAGCTTTCTTCGGGCATCGCCCAACCTCTGTGAAAATGAATCGACAAGAAGAGACTCATCATCATTTGATTTTTGCGAATTGGTAGGTTGTTGTTATTATTCTACCAAATTATATAGTAATTAGCAAAGGAATGCAACTGTTATTAAGGATAACACGAATTTTGATAACACTTTCTAAACTATCATGGTTGAACAAATATGAATCATATCAATTGTATGTATTTGCAGCTATCATTACACCTACCTACATGTGAAGAGCAGGATGAGTCTCGTGCTTCTAGAAACAGCGTTCATCTAGAATCGTCCAATCCTCTTGAAAAAGGATCGAAAAGTAGGAAAGGCTCATCTTTTGATGATTTGGAGCTGGTATGTTCTTATTATTGTACCAAATTGTATATTAAGTGGCAAAGAATGCAACTGTTATTAGGAATAGCTCGAATTTTGATAACCCCCTCTTTAAACTATAATGAGTGAATAAATATGAATCATATCAATGTTGTGTAGTTGCAGCTGTCATTACAGGTAACTACGTGCGAAGAGAAGGACGATCCTCGTGTGTCTACAAGCAGCGTTCATATAGCATCGCGAAACACTTGTGAAAAAGGATCGAAAGGAAGAATAGACTTATCATTATCTGACGATTCTGAGTTGGTAAGTTATTATTATTGTACTAAATTATATGTAACTAGTGAAGGAATGCAACTATTATAAGGGATAACTCGAATTTTGATAACCCTTTCCAAACTATTATGGTAGAATATGAGTTACACCAATTTTATGTAATTGCATCTATTATTATAGGTACCTGAAGACATGGATAAATCTCGTCCTTTAAGAAATAGCGTTCATCGGGTATCGCCCAACCCTTCTGAAAAAGTATCTAAAAGAAGAAGGAACTCTTCATCATCATCCGATGATTTCGAGTTGGTAGGTTCTTACAATTGTTATTATCATAGATCAATAAAACTTAATCACATCAATGTTGTTATTTGCAGCAAGCATTACAGACATCTACGGGCGTTGTCTCGGATGATCCTCCTGCTTTGACAGACAGGTTTCAACATGAATCACAAATTCAAAGTGCAAAAGGATTAAAAAGAAAGAGAGACTTGGGATTTGATAATTGTGACGAGGTAAGTTTCTATTGTATCAAATTATTTACTTTCCAAATAGGAGTCAATAAATATTAATTGCAAAACTATAGATACATCAAATTAAACTAATTTTATGTTATTTGCAGCAAGAGACACCTAGGAGCATATTGAATCAACCTCGTGCTTTGACAAGTGGACTTCGGCCGGAAACACCCATCCCACGTGTGAGTAGACAAAAAGCAGAAACTAATCTATTTATGTTATTTGCAGCAACCTTTACAGGTACCAAAAACTCGCAGAACATTGGAACAACCTCGTCCTTCTACCAGCGAACTTCAGTGGGAATCTTACATCCCATGTGTAAGTAATATACCAAAGTAGATATTAGCAAAGACATTAGTAATGACTCGAAATCAATTTAGAAGCATGAATTAAATCTATTTTGTATTAATTGGACCGACCATTACAGATGCCTACGATTCGTAGTACATTGGACCAACCTCATGCTTCTACCAGCGGACTTCAGCGGGAATCGATCATCCAATGTGTAAGTAAATTAAAATGAAATAGAAATTCAACATCTGATGATTGCGTTGAAGTATGTTTTTCTCAATATATCAAACTAAATTGCAAAAACTTTCACAATGACTTGAATTTTATATTAATTGACGCGTCCTTTATAGATACCTACGATCCGTAATACATTGGATCAACCTTGTGCTTCTACAAGCGGTCTTCAGCGGGAATCGTTCATCCCATGCGTAAGTAGAACAAATGAAGTAGAAATTTATCATCTGATGATTGCACTAATGTACTATTTTCTTAATATACCATCTGGATAATATCAAAAGCAATAGTAATGACTCAAATTTTATGAAATTCTTTCAAACTATCAGCTATCATTCAATACATACAATAAAATCAATTTTATATTAAATAAAGCGACCTTTACAGATATCCAGGACCCGTAGTACATTCGATCTATCTCGTGCTTCTACCAGCGAACTTCCGTGGGAATCTTACATCCCATGTGTAAGTAATATACCAAAGTAGATATTAGCAAAGATATTAGTAATGACTCGAAATCAATTTAGAAGCTTTGAATTAAATCTATTTTGTATTAATTGGACCGACCTTTACAGATGCCTACGATTCGTAGTACATTGGACCAACCTCGTGCTTCTACCAGCGGTCTTCAGCTGGAATCGCCCACCCCATGTGTAAGTAGATAAAAAAATAAGTAGAATAACTCGATTTTTTAAACCCTTTCAAACTATCATACTTTAATAAATAATCCCATTAATGTAGATGTTTTCAATAAAATTATTTGTATGTTAATTGGAGCGATCTTTACAGATACCACCGATTCGTAGTATATGGGACCAACCTCGTGCTTTTACAGGCGGTCTTCAACGGGAATCGTCCATCCCTTGTGTAAGTATATCAAAAAAAGTAGAAATTTTATGAAACCTATTCAAACTACCATATTCAATAAATAATCCCAACAATGTAGATGCTTTGAATAAAATCAATTTTATTTTAATTGAAGCAACCTTTACAGTTACCTACGATTCGTACATTGGATCAACCTCGTGCTTCTACAAGCGGTCTTCAACGGGAATCGTCCGTCCTACGTGTAAGTAAATCAAAAAAAGTTGAAATTTTATTGAATGTATTCAAACGATTAGCATTTAATAAATAATCCAAACAATGTAGATGATTTAAGTAAAATCAATTTTATTTTAATTGAAGCGACTTTTACAGTTACCTACGATTCGTAGTACATTGGATCAACCTCGTGCTTCTACAATCGGTCTTCAACGGGAATCGCCCATACCATGTGTAAGTAGATCAAAAAAGTAGCAACTCTTTATCTGATGATTGCATTATTAATATACCAAACTTGATAACAGTTACAACGTTAACAATGACCCGAATTTTATTAAATCTATATAAACTATCAGCATTCAATAAATAGTAGAATCAATTTAGATGCTTTTAATAAAATTAATTTTATATTAATTGTATCGACCTTTATAGATACCTATGATCCGAAATACATTGGATCAACCTCGTGCTTCTATCAGTGGACTTCAGCGGGAATCATCCACCCCTTACGTAAGTAGAACAAAGAGATGAACTTATGTTATTCAGGAGACATATTTTCTGAATATCATCAAATTAACTGGCTTAGTGATAACTTGAATTTTGTTAAAACCTTTCCTAATATCAATTTAATATGAATGACAATTTAATTGTAGCGAGCTTTACAGACATCTACAAGCCGTAACATCTTAGATCAACCTCGTGCATCTACCAGCGGTCTTCATCTGAGATCGACCATCACACGTGAAAGAAACACAAGAAGAATGAGCGACTCTTCATCTGATGATTCAATTGGGGTAAGTTCTTTTTATTGTATCATATTATGAAAGGGGTACTGTCATCATTTAAGTAGTTGTCAAGATTAGATTGTAGAATTAAGGTGTTTCGAATTTTTATAATATCTAAACTTACAGGAGCCATCAAATATGAGCCGCATTAGTGACAACAATGTTTCAAATAAATCCGAAAATACAAATGATAATTTGAAATGTCCAAAACAAACATTTTCTTTGCAACGAAACATAAATACACCAATTCAAAAGGTTAAACCCATCCCAAGCACATCGAGACCTTGTAATTCCATTCCAGTAAGTTCTACTCAAATGAAATAAGTTAAATTGTGTATAATTGTACTTTATACACAAGCAAATATTAAATGTACATTGATTTATTCCATTATTACAGGTTTTAAGAAATTGGTTAGATACAGGATTACATAGGAACCAGTTACAACGCAATGTATTGACAACTGATGAGATCTTGGAACGTCTTAACATGTCGAGCAACTATCTTAATTCTAATTCTACGGTTGATGATAATTTGGTAAGTTTTTTTTTATTATACCAAATTAAATACTTCAAATGTTCTTGTGATACCTCAAATTTTTAAAACTTTCTTTTTGAAATTTCAGGACAATGCCACACAAACAAATATTGTTCATGATACTAATTTAATTGTTATTAGCAGCTCTAGTAGTGAAAATAATGATGAAACACAAGAAAATATTTCACATAACTCTATGTTAGAAAATCCAGAAATAAATCCTTGTGTTTCGAATGAACGTATCGATCAAAGTGAACGAGAAGAGATAAAATCTTTTACACTTCCTTTGGCTTTTGGTCGTAATAATAACAGACCAAAGAATATTGCAGTAGTTGCTCCGATGCCTCGACCGCCATGTCGCACTGAAAACGATTCAGAAGACTACTTTTATGAAAATAGCAGTATCGAAGATTCGTCAGACGATGATGATGATGATAATAATGATAATGATGATAATGATGATAATGATGACAATGATGATGATGATGATAATGATGATAATGATGATAATGATGATGATGATGATCATGATGATGATCATGATGATGATCATGATGTTGATCATGATGATGATCATGGTGATGATGATGATCATGATAACAATTTCGTTGATGAAAACAATGAAGTACATAATCTAAATGGTGTAATGATAGCATACCGATCAGCATCTTCAACATATCCCCCATTCGAGCATGAGTCCAATTTAGTAGATTATAACGATCATTATTCCAGAATCAATAATCTGGATAATATCGTTTTTTATCAGAGAAGTAATAATCCAAGCATGTGTTACGCTTTAAGTGAGAATGTCCAGCAATCATTACGCCGTGCAATCATAAACCAAAGACAAGAATCTGCATCTACGACATCTACTACGGACAATCCTCTATTGTATCAGAGCAGATACGATGATGACTCTAGGCCTGGTAATATTACAATGCCTATGAATCAAATCGGCGAAAGCCCAGATGATTCTACCGACTCTGAAGAGTCTAGTTCAATTTTATTGACTCCGTTGAGTAGAACTCAGAACAATGGATCAGAGACTATTGATATTTTTCAAGGCATTTACAGTAATGAAAATGGACCAGACAATCAAATAGTGATTACTGTTCAAGGATTCACAGATAACTCTGACGAAGCGCGTTCCAGAAGAACTTTTTGGTCCAACGCAAGACATCCTTATGGGAAATCTATGGAAAATTATATTAGGAATCGCAATCGCCAACAGGTAGGATTAACTGATAAATGTATATTATTTTTTTTAACATTCACGGCCCTTAGTCTGCCACTGTCAATAAATATATATCAAACATAACTAATGGTTGCCTAACTATTGTATAAATAAATATAATTCTGGTCACAGGCATCCAGTTCCAGTGGAAACCACCGATATGATAATCAAGAGCCAACAAGTTCAGAATTTGAAAATGTATACGGAGACAAACGAATGCCTAGAAAATTTTCCGATACTCTTCCACGTCATTTAAGACCCTGTGAATCTAGTGATTCGAGCGACGATGATACTTAACCGAGGAGACAATCTTAAAAACCATCATCCGACAGAGGTGATACCACGTAAACATTTGTTTACCTGCAATTATTTGAAAACAAAAGTTTTATTTATTTATTATTTTATACATTATTAGACGCAACTTTACGTATTCTTTTTTGTTAAACAAATATACTTTTCTATGTCTATACTAATTCAATAACAATTGTATTCATTAGATCAACTATATGTATTTGTATATAAGTACAACCTGAAGTTATGCTCAGTTTAAATAGGTATATTATTGTCGAGAAATCATTTTAATTGAAACACGACATGTAATATTCGTTAAAATGGAAATGGAAAGGTTGAAAGACTTTTGAGTTCTGCATACTTTTTTTGAACAAAGAAAAATTATTCTCTCACCAAATGTAATTACATGAAATATAAATATTGTAAATAACTGTAAAACTTATACATAATTTGTATTTACCAAGCTTTAACATTTAACAAGTATAATTATTTGTTTTTCTTTTAATATAATCTTTACATTTCTGTAGGTATATGTCATTTTTTTTTATCAGATGTACCAACTATATACTAACATAATATAATAAAAATAGCTTGTTTTATTACTAATAAAATTATATTTTATAGGTGTTTTGGTTTACAAATGAATAGTTAATAAAATGATTAGAAGGCATTTTTATATTTGTATTATTGTATAAATCTTGAAACACATATCTCCAATAATTAAAATGAATGAATGCAATATGAGGAGCTGCTGTTGATACGTTACGCGTTGTATGAAATCATGTTATCAGATAAATTTCTACGAGAATCACGTTATATAAAAAGTGTAGATATGTTTTATGAAATATGCGAAATGGATTTGGTTGTCCAATGATAGAAGCATTGATGGTTATCATGAAAAATATATCTATACAGCTGTGGATATGCATGGATAGTTGGAGTAAAATCTCAGAAAATATAAAATATGTATGTTGATTTGACTGACTTCCAAAAGCTTTTGTAGGAATGCAAGGATCGATGTGAACTATTTGAAAGTTTTTGTAAGATGCTAGATGTGTGCCACTTATTATTAGGCGATGTCAAAGTTGAATCTATTCCATTTGCACAGTGCCTTCGGCCCTTTTTTGAAGAGAACTTTTGCTATGTAGAAGCACGGATCCTTCGCCGGAGCGAGAAAGAAATTGTAATAGACCATTAGTTGCGAGTATAATAAAATAAATACACATTCCAAGTTAAATGAGTTCTTATCCCGCCGGGAGTTCACAGCTCTAAGCAAGCGAACAAATGCGTCCCGACGGCGACATAGAAATACTCGATACCCGGCACTGATTTTGTACATGATTGCTTTTTTATATCGCAAACAGGACACGTACAGATACAGGATAACGGGGCCATTCGGAGCGACGTTAAATGTGTTTGTTTTGGCTCGTTTCCTTCAGGAGTAATGCCGGCTGATACCATGTGATAATTCTGACGTTTTCCCCCGAAATTTCGCTGCTTGTCTCTACATCTCCGATGTATGTTTCCAACCACCACTACCACCCACCTTCATTTCATTTTCTTTCTCTCTATTCCTTCAGCATCTTCCCTTCTTTTTTTTTAAACCACCCCCCTTTACAGCGGTGGGGATGTGGGAATCCCCCCGGATTCACGGCCTCTCAATGGCGCGCAGTGCGGCCGCAGACATCCCCCCAATTGGCGCACCGACCTCCGGGGGGATCGCTATTGATTCTATAATATGATTGTATAAACAGGGACACCCGCCTACACAATATGTGCCGCAAAATCATGAAATAATCTGCTGTTCTGTTCTCTTTTTTTTTGTAACATCTAAATCAGTAGTCTACAAAATCCATTTTTATGTTTTGGGAAACCTCTATCAGCAGAGAAAATACTTATGATCTGCTGTTCTTTTATCTTTTTCTTGATCTAAATTAAAAGGTCTGCAAAATTTTTCGGTACCTTTAAAATTATTTTATAAATTAATGGTTTTATCATTATTTTTTTTTAATTTCATTAAAGTTCTAATTGATGGACACGGCACAAAGCAATTTATCTATTTTTTTATGTATGCAAATATTAAATTGTGCTTTTTTTACTGTTGCAATAAAGATTATATATATTTAATTCTTATATAAAAATATATCTTTTTAAAACGAACTTATTTAAATTTAAATCTATGTTGAAAAAAAAACATTGCCTCACTGTTTAGTGATGATTGTTGTTATGTTATATCGAATAATCTGATACTGATAATTAAAAGATGTTAGAGAGTAATGACTTCGTTTAATTAATTACTAACAATAATTAGCTTTGAGAGAGGATAATCTGTTGAGAGTATTATAAGAAATGCTTGGAATGAGTAGATTAAGAATTTCAAATAGTAATAACATGATACGCAAATTGAATTGATGAGAGTGGTCAGATGAAGGGCCGCGAGGCTGTTTGATGAAAAGGGTCCGACTGTATATTGATTCGATAATGTGATTATATAAACATGCCACCGGAACTGTTATGATTACTAATAACGGAACAGCCTAATTGTTTGAATAATCCGCGCCATGAATTTTTCATTGGACACGATGGGGGGAGGACGGCAGAGTGCGGGGGTGGCGGCTTTTGGAGGCGCAGCGCGTGCGGGCGCGCCAGAGAAGTTAGATAAACGCTCTGGATATACACAGACTAGGATGGGGGGGACAAATGCAGTACAAGCATTGTCTGTATATATCTGGGCCCGATTCTTTAATTATTCAATGCTCCTATAGAAACAGAGTAATTTTAATCTATTGTTAAGTTAAACAAACGCTCGATCTCATTGTTGCGCGATATTCACTTTAATTGCTTTTAATTTACAAGCAAGAACAGTGCCATTCCCATAGAAGGCTCCTGTTTGCACATTTCATTTACGTTCGGTGTTTAAACAATCCGCCAGACCCATCATCCCTTCCACAGCCCATCCCGCCCATTGCCTACGTCCACGTCATACATTTCGTCCTTTTATTTTTGTATCCTTTCCTCCAACCTTACCATCTCAACAGAAAAATGACGAATAAAAAAACGAATTTTTCATAAAAAAATATATTTGTATCTATTTAATATAATATTTTAGATGAATTCAATAAAAAATTCACATCCATTTAACGTAACTTAAATTTATTAATTTACTAATAAATTCTTTAGTTTACTGCAAAATTTTAAAGAAATTAATTTCAATGAGATTTCATACAAATTCAATAAATAAATAAAAAATAAATTTATTTGGAAATCCATAAACATCTGAATTAATGTTGTCAATAATAATTAGATTGTGCATAATTGACGTAATTAGTCACACTTGCCGCTTAACATAATTCCTCTTCCAGTTAAGCTCCATGTAAACATTACATAATAAGCTTTGTCCTTAAAGCAACGAGCTTATCTCATCCGTACGTCTGAATTTGCACGTCGATGTATTATGTAACTTTGAATTACAGAAATTATTATTTTTTATTTGTGTATATCGTAGAACGTATAGTGTGAACGCAACATTACGAAATAAATCAATTCGAATTATGTAATATTTAGTTGCTGTGCATGTGCGTTTAAAGTGTTCATTTAATAAGTAAACTATATGATATTATATCACGCAAAGTTGAAAATATAACAAGGTGCTGTAACAATGAAAAATCCAATAAATACAGGAATAAACTGAAATCTTGTAATAATTTAAATGTTATATTGAATAGAATAAAAAACAGTTTCAATTTGAAAAATAATTAAATAATTAATTCAAAATGCTTAGTAATAGTAAGTGTCGGAATTACCTGTTCTACAAAGGGGACAAATACAAAATTGTGTAGGGCCTTCAATACTAATACTAACTGGTGTTTAGGACCCACGATTTTCTTACTGTGTCCCTCGGATAACCGACATTCTGAGGCCCCATCATCATTTTTTTAACTGTTGTTTAGGGCTCTATGATTTTCTCTATTTCAAAACGAGGGGGCCCTTGCTATCAAATTTGTCTAAGTACTCCAAATTTGCTTATGCCTTATAAAGCCACACGGGGACAAATATTTTAAGTTCCACCATTGAGTAGTAATGTGTATTTGTCCTGATTTGTGATGTAATCCATTCGATTTCTGTTATATTTGATTATAGAGCAAATTAGTTAAGAACTAGGAGAAAAACATACACAACTTTAATTTGTAATCAAATATTATTGATAAAACGAGACTAATACAAGTATTAAAAAGTAGGTATTAAAGCATATTTGTCATGATGTAATCAATTCCAATTGTATATTATTTGATTGTTGTGCATGTTGAATGCTTAAAGTGTTATTAATATCAAAATAATGTATTTGAATTACATCGAGGAAAATTGAGAACAACAGAAGAAAGGAATTTAAAAAAATAAATATTAGGGAGGAATAACAAAACGCGAGCAGACGACAGAAGAATAAGTAAAAGCTTTTGGCGTGGATAGGGAAAATAATAAAAAAAAGGGGGAACAATCAAGCTTCGTAGTCATATTATTTAGATTACATCAAGAATCGAGCGGTCGATTCAGATGAATAATAAATAAACCTGTCCCATTGTTGCGTAAGTGCTTTGTCACAATTAATACTCTTATCGTGGAAAGCACACAGACACATATTTATGTATACGTATGTATAAAAAAACACATATATGAACACAAAAAGAGGCACACATTTAGATACATGCATATCTGTTCATATTTTTTTTTTCAACACGCGCGTTTTGCTTTGATTCGTTTCTTTTTTACATTATTATTTTTGCTTTGCTGCTTTATTTAGTAACAGTTTGCATATAAATATTAATATTTACACTGTATAAAATGAAGGGTGGACTATAATTAATTATCTGCATATTTATGAGTTAAATTTGTTTTTAAAATTTTACATTATAATTTCTTTCTTTTATAATTCGATAAATCACAAATTATTTCATTTTTATAAAAAAAATTGTGACAATTATTGCTTAACTTTTTTGATAAATTTATATTAAAACTTTGTTTTAATAAATTACAATGATTTATAAGAAATGTAAAAACTTGTGTTAGTGTTATATAATTATTTTTATCATAATTTTTAGTTTTAAATGAAATTTATTAAGAGATGAATAAAGTTAAGCAATGTGTGGCGCGGGATTTCATTGAATAGATTAACTTGCATTAACTTGCGTGATATTTGCTTATAGTGTTAGAGTAGAATAGAGATTATCTAATAAAGTAAGAAGTCTTAATTATAAGGATATCTTACTAAAAAACAAATATAGATAATATTAGAAGAACTTTTAATCCAGTAGCAGGAGGGTTTTCTGTGGAATCTTAATGGGCATATTATATTTTTTTTTCTAAAATCGATTCAAGTTTGCGAGATGTTAAATTAAGCGTTCGCGCTGTGCCTTCTTTTCGTTCTCGTCCTGGAGAAGGATAAGCGCTCGGCGGGAGAGGAAGGGACGTTCTTTGATTCTGTTCAGAATAGTTATCTCTAGCCATAACTTTCGTTTAATTTCAGGCTTGAATAATGCCCGCTTTAATTTTCGCGTGACCGCCGCAAAAAAGGTCACGCGTTGACATTTGGGCCTAAAATGTCCCACCATTCAAAGCCGTTTGGGTACTAACAGACACAAGCCAGTCGATTTTTATGCGATGCATCAACCCCCTATGATAAAAAACAGAGAAGAACGGGGGGACGCCCGAATTTTTTTTTCCCCGTTCGTTTCGGAACACCCACCCCATTTCTTTTTGCGTTTTTTAGGTGTCGCGCGACAGAAGTGCAGCATTAGAATGCGACGCGCTCACCCCAATTAAAACTTTTTCAAAAGTGTAAATAATGGGGGTGGGTAAAACTGCCTTTACCTCAGGGAGGATTGTTAAGGAACGAACACGTATGCTTTGTTCCGTTTCACCCTGTATACGTTTGACGTTTTAAATGTCAAACAGTTGATACTTGATCCAGTTTTTATAATCGCACCGCACAATTTTGTGTTACACTAATCAATTACGGCACCGTTGAATACACGTGTCCTAAATGCTAAGAACAAAACTCAGGGTGATTGATTATAGTGAACTTTAGTTTAATCCCTAGATTAACTTTAAACGTACGAAGTATTTACAAGCACCATGTTATTTAAGATAATATATTTTCCATTTTTATTACAGAAAATATCCACTTCAATAAAACGATAATAATATTAATCATATAATTAATCATGCAATTGTTTATAATTAAATATACAAATATAAATAATTAAAAAGTAATAAACAAAAGATATTTTTGGGTATATAAGCTTTATTAATTTAATATTTGTATCGGAATAAAAGCTCATATGTATGTGACAAATAGAGTAAACATGGAATATATTTAAAATAATACGATTACTTTTTTTGATTTTTTTTAAATTTCAATTTTGTATTTAAATACTGTTATAAAAATTGATTAAAGTTCAAATTTATTTTTTTTTTAAATTGCACTTTTAATATTTGTGTACCCAGTAGATCGTGCCTTTTGGTATTTGAAAATACGATCAAAAGATATTAATTAAGAACAGTGGATATTTGCGAAATGTGGGAAAAAGAGCGAGAAAGTAAAAATAGAGGGTAAAAAAATCGGATACGTTATCGAAGTTACTTAACAGATTGTTTGCGAGGGTGTGTACAGGTGAAGCCACCCCTTTTTCGCTTCGATTAATGTACGTTCTGTTGGTCTTTTTAATCAAATGTAACTCAATACTAAAGTGTTTGTATTTAACTGAACGGCCTTTTAATATGATTAAATGTAAACACACTTAACAGCGTTTCCCAAAATTGAATTTGAATTATTTATCTGTGGACTCACCTTCTCGGATTTTGGCATCCACTGAGTTGAAGGCGGCGGCGGCGGAGGACTGTCCACCTTCTCATCGGTGGTCTCGATGTCTACTTCGTCGTCGCTCTGCTCCTCCTTCTGCACAGTCTCTTCTGCTATCGGCTGGACAGGCTTGAAAGCCGACTGATAGGTCTTGTCGACTGGGAAGAATGGACTCTCATGAGGGAATAGTATCGGATTCCTTTTGAGCCACGGAAAACTGGAGTAGGAAGAGAACGCGAACGGTTTGTTGTAGATGAAGTCCATCGCGACACGAGATATGGGTAGAGAAATCTCTTGACAGTTTGGAAGTCTTGGAGCTGGTACTATTGGTTGAGGTGTTGGTGTTTCCTGGACCTTAGGTTGTTTGGGCGCGCGTGGCACTACGGAGTTGGCAAGCATACGTTTTCTGGTACCACCGTTGAACATCGCTTTCACATCCTCCCAGGCATGGATGATCTCTTCCGGAGGAGATCCGCTGAGCTTCATGTGTCTTCTCCAGGAGTTGAAGTTCGCAGCATCAGGTTGCACGTATTTATCCGTTGGGCTGATGCGATGCGAGTGGAAAATGAATTTGTTCGGGGAAAAGAACAAACCGCAGATTGTGCATTTGATGCACTTGGCTCTGGATGAGTTATATCGCGAAGGGAGGAAGGATCCGCGACAACCCCAAGCGCATTCATGATGAACAGAGAAGGCAAAGTCATCGGGCAATCTAGGTGGTGCGTTGTCACCTAAGAAGCTCTTGCACAACCTTTCAGCTTCTCTGCGCGTTATCATCCCGCACCTCCTAGAAGACACCGGCATAGCTCCGGCCCTCCGCAAAATCTCCAATTGGACTGGAGTACATTGCACACAGGTTATACCTAAAAGGTTTAAAAAAAAAAATTATCTCTAATCCATAAACGCACTATGAAACAACCTCACCTAAAGCGACGCGTCGATTATGGATCTCGTTGTAGCTGAATTGTTTCAACAGAGTATTAGATATTTGGGCCAAGCATAATCTCTCCTGCGCCTCAATCACTAATGATACTATAGGTATACCATACAACACTACAGTGCTAACCTAAAAATCACCAACAAAACACTTCAGAACTTAACCGTTAACTAATGCTGTAAACTAACTTGATTCTGCTTTGAAGACATTTCGTTCCTTGGTAGTCCTGGCGACGGAGGCTCGCTGCTTTTCAACTTATGTTGCTGCTGCTCAACCCTAAAACATGGCACCTTTAAGAAAAATAACAATAGGATATTTTGCGGATCTGCGTTACATTCTCGTGGAGTCTTTGTCGCGGAGCTGCACTGTTGATTCACCAAACGGTTACGTGATAATGAATGAACGCACATCCCTTGTATATTGCACCCCATGCTTGTGGCTCCGCCTCCGTCGGGGACGTGTTTCCGTTTCAACCCCCGACGCGCGGCCATTCAGAGATGAGCTTTTAAATCGGCGGACGCCGATTGGAGACCCCCTGCTGCCACCCCCTCCACCCGCAGCCAACAACCAAAAACTGAACCCGTCGACGCGCATTTATAAATTCATTAGTTGCTTCCCTCGTTTTCTTTTATTTATTTTATTTCCACTTCTTTCTCTTTACCTTTGAAAAATTTCAGGGAATACCAAGAACCGTTCCGTTCTTAACATCATTAAGATTTTTAATATTACTAGTTTATTAAAAGTTTGTATACAAACTTTTATTTGAAATCATTGCGATATATTAGATTGTGTGGTTCAATTATTAGGAATGTATTTTATTTTTGAGTGGTTGAGATGAATGGGATGAGTAATAATTCTTTTATAGGGAGGTGGAGGACATGTTTTCAATCGCTGTAAATACTCTCGGATGATCCAGTGTGTGCTCGTGTGGGTATAATACAGGAGGAGCGGCACAATTATCGTGAGGGAAGGCCCGGAAGATGGGCAGGAAGATTATCCAGGATTTTAACATGTAATTCCCCGGACTTTTAAACGAGCAACATTGGAGTTAGTCGGGATTCCGGCAGTTGGGGGTGCAACGAGGCGGAAATAACGGATAACCTCGTAAATTTTAACAAGACTTGTCGCGAAGTGGGCATAAGAAATGAGCGGCCATCAATTCCTCGGGATTGAATATAATTCAAGATATAATTGAATGTTGCTTGAATAATGCATGGCTCTGTATCCTCACGAGACGCCCTTAGACATGGTCATCGTTAAATACGCTAGGATGCCCGATATCGCGCACACAACAACAACTTTATTGTACACGTGTCTCACCAATTTGATAGTGAATATTTTTCATCTACATAAACAACCGCAGATCCTTGCAACAAGGAACATATTATTCCGCAGTACATGAAAGTAAGTATTCAATAATGACACACAACGAGGATCCCGCAAAGGGCTTGCACGTGAAAGCGCTAAGCCGTAGCTTGTATTCAATGGGTCCCTAGGGAGAACACAAATAATGAAACGTGCTGAGAAAACTCCCGGATTCAACTAACTGAGCTGACATATGGAACTCAAATATTTACGACCCACACCTATACCCACAAATGTAACCATCTCTAATAAAAATCGTATCATTTTTACACGCAAGGTGCCTTAATTCCCCTTTCTCATCATCAGTGTATAAATCATTTACATAAGGCTTTTCATATGATCGGCTTATATTACATTTCCACAAATAAAACAAACCTATACAAACAGAATACCTACAATTATTAATTTACTGTTTGCATGAATAACTTACACTACAAAAGAAGTTTAATTATTAAAAACAGTTTAACATATAATACAAATGTTATTTATTGACTTGCAATCAAGATACAATTATTATAATTAATCAAAAATACAATACAAAATAATTCACTAATTATCAACAAAATAATTTAATTTAAAGCTTAACGTTAATAAAATTGTTTATTGACTTTCAATTATTTTTTTTTTTAATTTTTTATTAACTAAGCAAAATCTTATGAAGAAAATGAGTCTAAGTTATATAGTTTCAAAGCTATATGTATTTGAAAAAAGTGAGCTTAATGTGACAGAAATTATAACCTGAAATATAATCAGAAAGACCTATGGTCAATAGTTCTTTCCAACAGTTATGATTAATTAAAATTATACTTATGTATTTATTTTATATTTTTCGATTATGTAAGCAAACATATTTTATTCAGACTTTACAAATCATCAGAAAATAATAATAATTTACTTATATATTATTATTCACTATCCACTGGACGTGAACGTGCACACACCAAAATACGAACTTACTTATGTAACGACCCAATATTATTGGAATATAGTAAACACAATTATAAAAAATAGGATGATTGTGGAGTTATTAGAATCTATTGATACGTTTGTACGTAAAGTTTGTGCGTTGGATAATAATTAGCTGTGTACATAAGTAAACGTAAGCGCGTGTGTAGTGTAAGCATAATATGGTAATTTGTGGGCTTGTTAAATCGTTCATAAATACCGTGTCTCTATTTAGCAGCTATGGCAATAACAGCTGCCCTACGTACCGAGCATCACATAAGGGCCATTTGTAGCGGACGTAACGAGGTGAGGTTGCGTAACAATCACTTGTTAGGCTCTTTCGGCACGTGCCTGGCGCGCGTCTTGCTAATGGCCAGATATGAAAATACTGGAGGAGTGTTTGCAATGGCGAAAACAAAAGCACCCCGTATATCTTTGACTGCTGCAAAGCCGACAGCGTGTGCACACGTTGTTTATACCACAATTTCGGATTACAAAACCGAAACCCCTCCAAATTTGATCTTAATCCTCTATCAATACATAAACGGGTACACCTATCTTCCGGAAAATCGGCACCTCTCTCCTCTTTTACGTGAAAGAGTTACGTGAATTAAAGAAACCTTTATGTTCGAGGATTTTTTTCCCTCCTCCCAACCATTCGAATCGGATTGATTTAGTTCTCCTACCTTGTGCGCGTCTTCCTCTTCCTTTTTTGCTGTAGCCCTGCGCTCCAGTTATATATTTCGTTTTTTTTGTTCGCGATCCACCCTCCATCGTTCCATTGCCACAGCGCTCTGGTATTTACCAAATCCGCGGGGCCTCGGGAATATCTGGGCCCCAAATAATTGGATTCAATTACGGGCCTTATTTCCAGTTTTCGCATTAACGGCAGTACAGGAATAATGGTTGGCGAGGGAGTGAGACCGAAACAATAAAGTTATTAAATCGATTTCACACGGTGCGTGTGAGTGCTAGTAATGACATCCATAACAATAACGATGACAAACGATGGACGTGCGCCGCGCGGCTCTAGCACAAGGGCTAACAAGAAAAGGGCCCATAAAAAACTGAAAGGAGAAGATGCTTTCCTCGAATTACTGACGCCCTTCCCGTCTTAATTAATACCACCTAGTTAGTCTGCTGCTCTCAATTAGCTTCCACCATAATTACACTGCGTCTCCATCGATTAGTTTCTTCAAACTCCTTAAGTCGTTCCCTTGTTTTATCAATTAATTAAGTTTTCTAAATTAATAAAATTAGTTGAAATAAATAAATATAATACAATACAATATATGTTATTAGTACAAAGATTGATAGAAGTTTTTTCACTATTTTTTCATGTGATCACTTATATTTTTAGGGCAATTAATTAAATTTAATCATTGTTGAAATTAATTATATATACAATATTTGCTCTCAATTAGCTTCCACAATAATTATGTTACTCATCCATCCATCAATTAATTTCTTCAAGTAACACTTGTAACATTGTCTCATAATTATATGGTGAATTTATATGATCTATATAAATTTCAATTGAATGTTGAAACTTGTTTTGAAATATAAGTAGCATGAAAAATTATGCCATAAAATATTGCCTTGAAAACGTTTCACGGATAAAAGTCACGTATTCGTTGTAGAATTCAGTCTGAAAGAAGAAACAAACGTCGATTCACGTCATAATAATTTGAAACGAAAGAACAGGTTACAGCAGAGGTTCCCAAACTTTTTTGTGTCGTAGATCCCTTGCCATGTTTTTCGGTTTTGGGTAGACGCCCTACTTACCTGATATTAATTTTTTGTAAATTTATTATTTATATTGGGACATCTTTATAATTATTAAGATCTTTGCTCTGAGACTGCGCGTATGCTTATAACAAGATGATACTGGTATATCATTATGTGCAGGTTTTTACAAGTTCAAAATGTATTGCGACCACAAAGTGAATGCCTACATCCTACAACTTACACAATTTTATAAACATATATAATATTTTTTTTTACTTCATTGGTACTAAGTAATATTCATTGGTAATAAGATAGTATGATATAATTAAATAGGTACTATCAGTGTATGTTGAGATCCACTATCGCGGACCCCCATTTTCTTTTCATGAACCCCCAAATTTTTTTTCGCTGACGTAGACCACTTGCAGGTTGTCATAGACCCCTGAGGGTCGATATAGACCACTTTGGGAATCACTGGGTTGCAGAAATCAGAAAAAATATTTTCAGAACGTTGCGTTATATTTTTCAATCATTTTCAAATATAATAATAGAAAATTATAACAATCATTTAATGAAATAAAACTAGTTGGATATTTGTTGGAAAATAGCAAAAATAAACTATTTTGTGTAAAAAGTCTAAATTTTAATTTCAAATCAATTTTACTTAACTTAATTTATTTGAAACAGATTTATCGATGAAAATAATATAATGGTTAATCTTAATCTACGGATTTGTATTACGTTGCGTCTACACTGCACAGAATAAGCGCGTATCTTTTAATAAAGTATTTGTGAGATGCGCATGTGTGACTTAACTTTTCACATATAGTGTGGATCCACCATTATATAAATTAATGTTTATATTATATTATTAAATTATTTTTTGTGTTTAAAATTCGAACATATTTGTGAAACTGATGTTATAATAAAAATAAATTAAGTTATTTTTTAACAAAAAAAACATTGTCAATGTTAATTAATAAAAAATCGAAATTGTAAAGAACATAATCAAATCAAGGTTCTAATTTATAAAATGACAATTACAACAGATTTCAACGAACGCAATCATGTGAAAATGTGTAGTAGATGATCATTGTAACATAGAGCAATGATCGTGCGCGTGTTGCAACATGGATTGACATTTGTAAAAGTAAACGTCCGTCACGGGTCGAGTACACTAATTGCTTGTCGAGTTTGTTAATTAAAATTCGATCGAATTCTGTCAAGGGATGTCGCGGACCTGGGATTTTAATCCCCAAGTTCAATTCGCCCGAGCCACCTTACGCACTCAATTATTTTAAAACTGTTCCGGCTTTGCCTCCACAACCGCATTTCACATCCGTGATATAACAAAAAAAAACAACTTCTTCCCGTCTATCCGTTCATTCTTAGC